GGTAAACTGCATGCATGGGACCTGCCTGTATTACTTATATATGATACATATTATCTGAATGGAGGAAGATGTAGCATAAATTGTGAATACAGCTGGGACAACTTGCAACCCCAGAAAATCTGTGTCTGAATGAGATTTTTATTCATTATCCAAAGGAAATGTGAGCCAGAGGACATGCTTACAGCAGGGTGACTTCTTCATTTGTGATATTTATGCATGACATTGAGAATGAGTCTGGAAATACAAGGTGACTGTATATCCATAGATATATTTCAAAATTAAAAACTTTTAAAGAGAGATGTTTGCTGAATTAATGTTTGCAACTGCATTGCTCATAGATCTTAAGGAGGAAAAAAGTAGCTCATATGAAGGCCTACTTCTTCATTGAGATCATGCTGACTGGCACCATTTTCAAAGTGGGTCATATATGTCTGAGTTATTCTGTATCTGTACTATCATGATATGTATATAGATATATAGATAAATACACACACACACACACATATGAAAAAAGAAGCAGTTTCTGGCAGGCAAAAATCCTTCACAAATGAGGTTTGACAGAGTTCAGCAAGGCATGGCACCCTGCTTTTTTCACTCAGCAGTGAATGGAATTGTAGGACAAATGAAAAGAGGTCACCTGGCCTTTAATATACATGTTTTGAAGGCACGTATTTTTCTAGTTGTCATTAACAGTAAGACCTTTTTCTAAAGCAGGAACCATTTATACAAATGTATTCTTCAGGAGAGCTGTGATATCTGCCACGTACGAAATATATGTGGTTATATAGTTCCTAGGCTTGACTGTTTGGAAATTTTTTTTTTTTTTTTCCCTTCGGTATTTTTCAGTGTCATGAAAATTGAAACACAAACCTGGTAAACCAAGAACTCCACTTAAACACTAGGTTGGTCAGTAGAGAATTCTTGGGGAATTCAGTCTTAAGTGCACAAGTTAACCCCTGCTATCTGCCCTGCTCCCTGCTCTACTGCTGATTCCTGGGTTCCTGTTAAAATTTACTGTCTGTGTTTCATGTGGAATGAATAAGTAAACATTTCTTAGACTGGAGAAGGGTCAAATCCTATAATACAGTGATATTTGCTTGGTGTATGGGAACCCAAGGCTAAAATTGTTCCTCCTCTGATTTGGGATAAGGGGCATATGTGATGTTGGGAAAAAAATTGCCCCAACCCTGAACACTCCCTAAAGAAGCCCCAAAGCAGACAGAACTGTTGATCTGTGAGACAAGCAGTTGTTGCAGCAGAGAATTCTTCTGAACCATGAGAAATTCTGAGTTACATTCCCATTCACTCCCCTAGATTAATACCCAGAGGTGCAACCTTAAGCTAACCATAGAGGCATAGCAAGTCTTTTTTTGTTCTTATGACAGGGATTATTATCTTCTTACAGAAGTTTCAGGACAAATAAATTGGCATTTTTAATAAGAAACACAACATGGTTGCAAAATTCAAATTTTTGCTCTCTGTATGAGGTACTGTGTTTCTGGAATCTTATGCTTTTGAAAGATGCCTATAATTTTTCCAAACAATGCTCCTGAGTATCTCACATGGTTTTGGAGTTCCTGAAATAATTCCAACAATAGCACTTCTGTTCTTCTCAGGCAGTTTCAATACCAAACCAAGTTTTCATTACCCACATGGCTTGTATCAGCAATAGTGTGGCCAGCAGGACAGAGATAGTAGTCATCCCTCCACACTTGGCACTGGTGAGGCCACACCTCAAATCCTGTGTTCAGTTTTGGGCCCCTCACTTCCAGAAGAACGTTGAGGTGCTGGAGAGTGTCCAAGGAAGGGCAACAAAGCTGGTGAAGGGTCTGAAGCACAAATCTGATGAGGAGCTGCTGAGGGAGCTGGGATTGTTTAGCCTGGGAAAAAGGAGGCTCAGGGGAGACCTTATCCATCTCTACAACCCCCTGAAAGGAGTCTGTCACAAGATGGGGGTCAGTCTCTTTTTCCAAGATAGAAGGGATAGGGTGAGAGGAAATGACCTCAAGTTTCACCATGGCAGATTTGGATGGGATATTAGGAAAAATTTCTTAATAGAAAGGATGGTCTGGTATTGGAACAGTCTGGCCAAGGAAGTGGATAAGTCACCATCCGTGGAGGTATTTAAAAGACATGTAGCTGTGGCACTTAGAGGCACAGTTGGACTTGATGATCTTGTGTTTTCCAGGCTTAATGATTATATGATTCTATGGCTACTACCCACAGCATGAAAAAAATCCAGAGTGGTAGGAGCACAGAAACTCAGTTTGAGAATGCACTGAGTAATCCATTTTATCAGGTGTCAAAATAAATATAAAACCTTCTCAAACCCAAGAATTTAGTTATAGAAGTGCATTACAGTTGGCAATAGACAAATAAAAGATTTTTTTCACAATACATAGGAGAAACAACATTACAATTTACTTTGTAATTAAATAAAAGTTATATTAAGTTGTCCTGTAAGTTGTTTACTCCATGATATATTCAAGCTTAAAAAAAAAAAAAAAGTTTCAAATATTGCAGATAACCTTAAGTCACTTACCTTATTTTGTGATATTTGTGTATCATCACGTCTACTAGCATGGTGTGATGATGACATTTTCTAAGTTCTCATTATACTTTTTTTGTTCTTTCAGAAGTACACTGAACTAGAGTCACTTCAGGAAGTACATTAGAGAGAAAATCCTTGCAATATGATACTGATTTGTGTACTGAAGATTTGGAGGGGAGTTAGTACCCAAACTAAAATGTTTTGGGACACAGCTACTTCTTTCACTCAAAAATACTTGAAATATGGATTACAGTCCTAATAATTAAACATACAGCTTTTTTCTACAGGATTACATTGATTTTGATAGTTTTTAATTCATAGGAATGTTATGAGGAAGTTGATTTTATATTTGGCATATGATAATATTTTTTTTTTAATCAAACAATTAGAAGAATATCTCCCTGAAGGAACTAAGATCAAAATGTATGTGCTTTCAAACTTGTGTTTAGATGTATTTAATGGCTATGAATAATTATTTCTAATTATATTTTATATGAATAAAAGTAGTTTAAGGGCAATCTATGGATGGAATACTTAGTTTACTTAATTACAAAATTATTTTATTTTGGTAACACCTGAGGAAGTATTCAACCTTCTGTGGGCTGTAACTGCTTTGGAACATTATTTAATAAAAGGATAAAACTTGGATGGTGACTGAGATTTAGAGCCTATATCCAACAGTTCTGAAAGTAATTATAGTTTAAAGAACACCTATCTTTCATTGACAGTGATATTTTGCATATTTAATTATGTATGAAGTTATATAATTAATGCACTTGTTTACTGCATACACAGTATCTTGTGTACAACTGTATTGAAGATGCAGACTATGTGGAGACAGAGTATTAGTCACTGCTTTTCACACTGTGACTCACTAATCATTATCACTGCCTATATAGTGGCAGTATTTCCAGAAAATGCCTATAGAAAACCTGTGTTCTTTCTGTATCAAGAAGACCAACAAACCAGTACACAGAACCCAAAACTGTAATTACTAACAAATCTTAAGTACTTCAGTAACAACTAACGACATTCTGACTTATGGACTCATGGACTAAGCTTTAGTTGTACTCTTGAAATCTGAGGGATATATATATATAGTTAAATAGTAGAATTTAAATAGTAGAATAAAAGGCAGTAATAAAACAATTATTTTAGCTAAATATGGTGTATCTGACATATTTAGACTTCATACATAAGTAATTAAAGTATTCTGTTCTTTATCAGTACTTAAAAACACACTTAAAAATTAAGGCAATTCAAGAAAAAAATGGTTAGAGTGGTGACTTAGACCATTTTATTTCTTTTGTAGCCATATATAATTTCTAAGCTAAATTATAAATTGAGCTTCCTATTCATGTTTCACTCATCAAGTAACCATTTACATTACAGAGAACTACTTGCTACAGAAGTAAGTGTAGTAGAATGTTGGGTGCAAGGATAGCTTGGTATCTTTCTTTTTTTATTAGTTAGAAGAAAGAAGCATTGCCCAGTGAGAGGGATGGTGAAAACTATTTTTATTTCCTCTTCCTCCCATGAGAACAGGCTATGACATGTATGAACAGAAGTGCTTATGTGTGTGAGTGCCTGTATGTGTGTCTGTGCGTCTGTATGTGTGTGTGTGCATGTATGCACCTCAAAAATACTTTAAGAAAACATACTGAATACAAATTAAAATATATTATTTACTAAATCTTTTAATAAGTAAGGACAAATTCTTTATCATGGTAAGTAACTGCTTTCAGTTGATTTCTAGTTTTTTCAAAGAACATGAAATATTGTATAGCATGAACCAAGGCTGGTTTTGGACCGATTTCAAGTCCCAGTTTCATGTCTGAGATAAACTCAACTTTGCTTCACTCTTGTTTACAATCTGTTGTTTTAAATATCTTTTTGCTTGTATAAGAAACAAAATTGAATTTTAAGGAGGTCTTTATGGTTTGTCTGTGTAAGACTCAATGATAATTTTATTTGCATTGGTTCCATGAAAAATTCAGATTGTGGCTAATTAATAAATCTTAATGAGGATGAATAAAATATTAAGTCATTGAAGATGGTAACTGAAGGAATTATTTCTTCAAGGTTATGGAACAGAGTAAAACAAATTGCAATTCTTATGTAAAAAAATTATTTGGTGATTTTTTAATATACTTTTTTGGTTTATATTCTTTTTTAATAGCACGTTAATTTTGTTTTTTGCAGAAATCACTTTTAACTGAAGTACTGCATTGTCACAGAATATGATACATTTTTTCAAATATTTTCAATTTGTTCTTCTTGACATTTTATGTTTATGTGCACTTTGCATCTTTTTGTTTTTCAATTTCAAATGTAACAGATTTTGACATTTTTGTTACATTTTTTTGTACTATTGGTTTTTAATTTTTGAGAACCTGCTGGTTTTGAATTCTCTTTTTTCCCTTTATTCTCCTCCTCACTATGATCCCAGGAGCCAACACAAAGAAAAGCGCAGATGATATAACCAGTAATGATCGTGGTGAAGATGAAGGTATTTTTTGTTTTTTCAAAGCCTGACCCTGATGCATGAACATAAACTTTTCAATTTTTGTTATAATAATAATAATAATTATTGTTATTGTTATTGCTGTTATTTCAACATGATTTTTAGTCCCTCATTTGCAGAAGCTCACCTCAGTGTGCTTCTTTGTTTTCTTCTTTAGAATTTACTTTCATTATTTTTCTTTTTAAAATCGAAATTAGCATATAGATGACTGCAGCTCCTCTGTGACATAGGTGTAAAGTTTATTCCTAAATATGTGTGAAGTGAGTAACCTAAGTGTTATTTAAAACCACATACTTTTCCCCCTCTATTCTTTCTTAGGTTGGGAAAATGGAATTTAAAAACATGCATGTGGTCTTTTCCCTCCTACACGTTTTGTAAATTCACTTGTTTGAAATTCATGAAAAAACTCACATAAATCCTTCCTTTCACTTTCACTGTTTCCCCAGTGCACATGCTGTACATTGATGCAGTTGAATTGTGCTTTGTCTTTGCTATTTTTATTTACTTATTTATTTCTTTTTTCTCACAGGATGTGGTTTTTTTCAGGACACAAAAATAAAGGAAGCTGTTGATGTTGCTTTATTGTTTTTTTCCTGTAATCAGCTAGCCTCTGAGACACATTCGTTCTGACTCTGACCACATTCCCACTGAAATCAGTAACAATCATTTTCATTGACTTCTTTCAAAGTTGGATTGGATTCCCTGAAAGGAAATGTTAAAAGTTCACAGTGAAGTACCCCAGAAAAGTTTTAGAAGGAAATACTTTTTTTCCCTGCCTTGACACAGTAAATCTATTTAAAATGAACCAAAATAGAAAGAAGTCATGAAATCTTCCTCTATTCTCACCCTTCCTTTTCATTGAAGTTACATTGACAGTTTATTTTACTTCATATATATATACCAAATTAGGGGAAAAAAAATAAATTAAATGAGAAAATAACAACTCTGGGTTTGAAGCAATGTGTTTCTAAATCTTCTCATGCTTGGACAATCCAAGGTGTTATTCCATGTCTTTTTTTCCTGTTTTCTTCTATCTGACATCAGCTCAAATAACTTCAAAACATATATCCTCTCTGTTTCCTTATAATCCTACATACTGCAGTGAGGATACTATCACCTCTTTTCCAGGGAGTTCAGCTTGATTTTAGCAACTCTATCCACATAGAAAATACCGTAATAAAAAGCTCAGATCTTTGATTCACACTGGTTGCCTTCTACTGTACCACCTTCATTGCTGAATTACACCGTTTATTATAACACAAAAATGCTGTGCAGAGTACTTTAAAATGACTCTGTTATTTTCTGATTATCACCTTCCTGTTTCTGTGCAACCTGTGCTTTTTTCAGATGATGGTATTATCATTTCTATACCAAATTCTGAAGTTAGTTTTAAAGCAAAGGAAATAACAAGCAAAATCAAAATTCCTAAAAAAACCTAAAGATAAGTATTAGATTATGAACACATTATTCAAACTTCTTTAGAAAATGTTAGAGTTTCATGATTAACAAGGGTATTCATTTCAGATCTAAGCACATAAAGTATGGAGCTAATTTCCTTTATGCTGAAGCTAATGATATTCCTGTTGAAGGGGAAGAGGAAGCCTACAATTGACTTTAGCAGCGAAAGGTTCAACTCTGAGATATAACTATGTAATAAGGAAGGATTACATACAACAAGTCATACCATGAGACTCGGGTGGGGAGAGAAGGGATAAGTAATTCAGTAACACAAGTAATTGCATTAAATGAGGGCTTGGTTGTGCCTTTGGAGAAGAAGAACTTTTACGTACTTTGCTGAGAAAAAGAAAAATACAGCCACTAGAATACATCTCATTGCTTTATATGGTCTATTTAATGGCTGCATTACTTTTGTAGTCACAGGAATTAAAAAGACCTTATCACAAAAACTTTTGTTCTGTTGGTCAAGTGCAATGTCTAAAATACAACAAGGAGCCTGGACATAGGTTCCTGCACCCAGCTGGAAATTTTTGATATTTAAGGTAGTGCAAACACATGAGTAAAAAACAACTGGGACATAGGAATTTGATCAGTCAAAATTTCCCTTTAAATATGCTCAAATTAGTGGCACATATACAAAACATTAAATATCTGGTACCTGATTGCTGATTGCATTTTTTGTGCCTTTAAGTATTTCATAATAAACCTGGGGGGAAGAAAGAGTTTTGGAAGCTTTTCAAACCCAAGTCCTTATCTTCTAGATATTTAGCTCAGCTTTTTCGTTGTCCATTTCCCTTCTCCACTCTTCAGTATATGCCTATCTTACCCAAAAGAGAACACTGCTTTTCCGTTTGTTTTTTTTTTCCCCAATCCTGATTGAATAATCAGAGATTCTGATTTTTTTTGTATGTTTTGCTGTATACTTGAAAGAAGTGCTCTGATTCCATGCAGATACACTGAATTATTTGCAAAATGTTTGCATACTCAATGGCAGCTTGCTAAATTGCTCTCTACTTTATAAAGGAGCTTAGCCCTTGTTCCCACTGTTATTGTAGAGAACATCAGTTCCTAATCTAAGTGTCCTGAATCATCTCTGGCATCAGAAGCCATTTATCTGGTCCTAAAGATACTCCTAATCATTGATTAGTGCTTTCTTTTAAGAATAAAGACCCAGCTGCTTACCTGTTTGAAAGTAGTCAGGAATAGTTTGCACATAAAAAAGATCAGCGATACCATTAATTCACGGATTTTCACTGAAGTTTAGTTACCATGACAAGGAAAAGTACTACACAAAAGTCATAGTCTGATTTAAATTCAAAAAAAATCTGGGCCATGAATTCACATAAATCCTCTCTGTTAACTCCTAGGCTGTTTGAAAGAAGGAACAGTCCAATATGTTTCCTTCTATCAGAACTATTTGATTTTGTGATATTATCTTTTACTGAACTATTGGGAATATAGTTTCAACAGTTATGTCCCAGTGAGGAATGGCAAAGTATGGATCGTTACCGTAATTTCATTATTGGATGCCCAGATATTTCTAAATTGGCATATACTTGAATCAGAATATTCTCAAAAAGGGAAGATTATTCCATAATTTGATTTTTCTTTTTAGACTTTGAGACGTTTACATTCAAATTAAATTTCTTGCAATTTTGAAGGCATTTCAAGTGTTCTGAGAACACTTCAGAGGAAATAATATTTGAAATTTCAAATTATAAATAATAGGCTTGTAGGATGATCCTGAACTGCATAAGCTAGCTGATTAAAATACTGGTCATGACATTGAAACCACAGGAAATATTTAAGACTATTTTTAGCATTGTTATAAATTGCTAATACCATTTTCCTTATGTTTTTATTACTTTATTGTGTTTTCCTTACTTGAACTTTTTCAGACATTCATGATCAGAACAGCAAGAAACCTGTTATGGTCTACATCCATGGTGGATCTTACATGGAGGGTACTGGCAATATGATTGATGGCAGCATTCTCGCAAGTTATGGAAATGTCATTGTTATCACTATCAATTACAGGCTGGGGGTTTTAGGTAAGTGATTCTTTTCTTCATAGAAATGTTTGCATAGAAATATTTGATTGTTGAATTTTTCTATTGATCAATCAAAGGCCCTTGGGTCAGTTTCAGTTTAAAAGAAGACCATTCTTGCTGACGGATTCTGAATTCTGTCCAATATTTTATGAAAACTGGGCTAGACTACATTCTTTTTGACAGCTGCCTTCACCTTAGACAGAAATGACTGGAAATGTGTAATGTTTTGAGAACTGGTATCTTTTTCTTATTAATATCATCCAGATTCTGTGTAAAAAAAAAAAAAAGGAAGAAAATTAATCAACAGTGAGTACTCATCAGTTTCAAAACAGTAGGCAATGATAGGAAGAGAGAAAATGTTACTATATAACTTCATTTATTATTTTTTTGTGCAAGGTAGTACAGGAGAGAAAGGCTATATACCCTGATGCAATTTATGTTGCAAGTAATAGGTAATCGAAGGGTTTCCAGGAGTGCTGGGAAATTATCTTCCTAAATATAAGGAACTCCATAATTATTAATTATAATATTGAGAGAAATTAATACTTCTGTCTTTCAAACAGAAAAAAATAGCTGCATCTTCTTGACATAAATATTCTGCTGTCACCATTAGACTGAATAACAAAATAACCTTAGATCTAAGTGTCCTTAGATCAAATGACAATCGATCAAAAATCTTTTCTGCCTTCTCTAATTCCAATTTCTGCATGTTAGCATGTACCAAACTTTTGTCTACATTAGGGTTTATTTATCTATTGAAATTCTACATTTACATAGAAAAATTTTAAAAAAAATTGCAGATAAAACCAGACATTAGATATATTTTTAATCTTAATGAAAAAGCTTATGGTTTGTATGGAATAGCATATAGACTGCTCAAATGCTCATATTTCTGGTATTTTAGATACACAAGGTAAGATATAGTAATCTAGTTTGTGTGGCTTTTAGAAGGATTTTTGATCTTGTGTTTCTTAATAGCAAAGCTGATCTATATTCTTGTCATGTACTGTTTTGGAACACAGAGAACTTCTTTTGCTGAGTTGTCTGTTCATGTCCTTAATGCATTTAAGAACTTTATAGTTCAACAGAGTACTGAGATTTTTTTCTTGTCTCTGATTTTGACTCTTCTTCAAATACAAAAGAGCAGCTTTTTTCAATGATGGAAACAGATTTAAATATAAAGCCACAATTATAATGAGATATTTTGGTATATTTATGCATGTAATCTTAGTTCTCAGAGAAAATAAAAAAAGATAAAAAAGTAAGAACTCAAGACACAAAAAAAATAATTGCTGCTTTTGTTGTTGTTGTCAAACAAAGTGTATACTCAGGAACTTGGTAGTAGTTATTTATCTGCAAAAAAGGTTATTTAATGGATCTCTTAAAAGGTTTTCTCTTGGTTTCTTAAAACTAACATTGTTGAAGGATACAAATGATTATAAGTGGTTTAAAATGTTTCATTGTCCAGCTGTCTCATGTAAATATAAAGGAAAAGGTGTAATATTTGCATTGGTGAACTGCTATTTTATGTACTTATATTGAAAACAAAATAATAGAAAGAATCAGAATGCTATATTTTTTTGTATTGTGGTATTCAGGAAAAAAAGGCAAAATACAGAGGCATTCATATGAGAAACTGAAATATAATAATCGCCAGGATTTTAAATGGATTAGGAAAAATACAGTGCTATATTTGGCATTAAATATTGCTTCTCAGCAGTGCCAAATGTAACTTTCAAGATTGTGGAATTTATTCTTTATTACAAAGGTCTATGTTTGACTTAGAAAAATGAAGGTATTCAGAATATGTGGATAGCACTTAAAAAAACAGAGGAATTATGTTTTATGAGCATATTTAGGCTTTCTCTTCCTGCGTGAAATGTAAATGGGATCACTGAGAACTCCCTAGATTCTGCCTAGCCATTGGAAGATGGTAGGTGAATTGCATGTATTTTTGACTTGTTTCAAAGATAAAAGAAAAAGAAAAACACAATTTTCCTCAGATAAACAACGATGTACAAAACAAATAGGACTATTCATAAGACTTAAAAAAAGTGGTATAATTATTATGACAGAGAGTTTGAAGATTAACAGTATTTGTATCCTTTTATTCTAGTCTGGATTATTGAAGGTTATATTTCCATAGATCTTGTGTGTTTCAATTGCATTTGATTTGTAAGTTTATACGTGAGATCAAATTCAAACCTGTTGTTAATGACAGAGATGTATAATTCTATCACTATTATCTCATCCTGTGATGAAGGAATAGGCACTGAATTGATCAAATGCATATCTCTAGGAAAATTATCACTTGAATGGATGTGAATTCTGAATGGTATACTCTCCATAAATGTTAGTTCTGTTCTTGAGGCACATTAAATTATTTTTCTTTCAGTCAATATGTGTCATTAACAGCGGTAGATAAAAAAAAATTAGGACTGCATAGATAATCACTGGATGATGTTAGACAGGCAAATTACAGAAGCATAGAATGTTTTGGATTGGAAGGGATCTCCCAAGACGATTTAGTCCAACGCCATAGGAAGGGACATTTGTTACTACATCAGGTCGCTCAAAACTCCAACCTGACCTTGAGCACTTCCAATGATGGAGCATCCACAGCTTCTCTGGGCAACCTGTTCCAGTGTCTCCCACCTGCGTCACAAAAGATTTCTTTTGTCCCTTGTCCTGCCACTGTAAACCTTGGTTAAAAGTCTCTCCATCTTTCTTATATATATATATATTATTTTCACTAGTTCTCCTCTCTTATTTATTGCCAGGAGTACATCTTCCTTTTCTGAGCAACATACTGTTCTGAGTACCATGGGCTGTAGAAACCCTTCTTGTCATTCTTCATATTCCTCACCAAATTCAGCTCCAACTATGCCCTAGTTTTTCTGATCCCATCCCTACACACCTGGACCGCATCTTTATCTTCTTCTTAGGATATAGAAAATACAGACATCCTAGTCAGTAAAAAAGCTTGCTTTTTTTTTTTTTTCCCCCTTTTTTATGTAGCTGTAACATGGTGACATCCAGGGTTATAAAACATTTTAACTGAATTATAGAGACAAATATCTTTATCTCAATCTTTTCTTCTTGCATCTGGCTAAAATATAGCTCTTTAGATTTTGCACTGAACAATGTTTATCTGTAATTCCAGCATACTGCCCCTCTTAGAAGACTGCAGAGCTGCTCTGGGAATAATTTCCTCATCTCTCTCTCTCTGTTCAAGTAGCACCATGACAAAACAGCAGACAGCTGTACTGAAGGCTTTTGAACCTTTAAATTATCCACCTCTTTCCTTTGAATTAAGTACTTCCAGAATTTTCTGAGATTTCTAGATCCACAAGAATGCATGCAGCAATAATCTGGGTTGTTGTTATTTAGAAGGCTTTATTTTCCCTTTAAGTTGGCATTTAGCAAAATGCATTCCACAGGTAAGCTCCTTTTGGGACAATAAATTAGAAATATTTAGCTTTTTCTTCTACTTAGTCTAGTGGTCACTATTAAAAAAGTGGATTGCTGCAGTGCTGTGTTTAATTAGTTGTGCACTTCAAGGTTTGTGAGGATCCTACCTCTGCCCAGCTGAGCAGTTTTTGTTCCTACTCATACCTCACCACAATGGGGACTGAAGATTCTGCTGGAACTAGAGGAAATTGTTAAATTGTCCCAGTGCAAGGCAGTGCTCCTGTATCTTGAAAAATTCAATTCTCTAACACACAGAAGTTTAAATCCAACTGTCTCACCACCCCATACCACATGATTTGAGCACTGTGTATGGTGACAGTATTTTTTTATAAGTTATTCAACAGTTGAGTTGAATTTTCAAAATTCCCAAGATATTTAGAGAGTTATTTTACAGAAGTAATAAAAAGTCATCAGAGTGGTTGGATTAGGCAAAACAGGTATCCTAATTCAAAGTAGGTTCTAATATTATAAAAAGTGGGATGTTTTGAATGATGTGGCTCAGTCTAGATACTGCTCAATTCCTCTTAAGTATTTGCATTCTTATTCTTCATGGACATGCTTTAAGAAGTAACAACATCTTACCACCATAGATATAAACACTGTTTTAGTACCTTTTTCAGGATTATGTTGGCAGGAAAAATACAAAAGAGGAATACAAAATACAAAAGAGGAAACTTCTACTGCAGTAAAATGAGACACACTCAGAGTTCAAAATTGCAAAAATTGACTTAGCATTTTCGAGACCCCTGCAATTTAACATTTTCTTCCTCTTACAATTCCAAATCATGTAGATAAGGATAGACTATCTCTCATTTATCTTTCTTTTTGGCAATAAGTTCCCATTTTAAGTACTCTGTCTGCAAAGGCTGGACGTCCTTTTAGCAGAAATTACATACACATGCAATTATAGCTCTCTATAAGTAACCATATTAGTTGCTGCAATATAAATCAAGAGTTCAATTTACAAGGAGGTTCCAAATTTCAAGTTACTGAGAATCCCAGCTTTTTTTGTTTCACTGAGTACCTGGTTTGCAAATTAAAACACTGAAACAGTTTATGTTTTTAATGAACTGCTTATGATTTGACTGACCATTATAGTTCCTTTCCAACTGAGCTACATTCAGGTCTATTCTATTCTATTCTATTCTATTCTATTCTATTCTATTCTATTCTATTCTATTCTATTCTATTCTATTCTATTCTATTCTATTCTATTCTATTCATCAGTAATCAAATCAGGCAAGCAGTATATGACCTCATGAGCCAGATTTTTTGATTTTGGCAGTGTACAATACAATACGTTGAATTTCATCTTCAATAGTCTAATTGTTGTATGGAATTACTTTGCATTTTAAATTTTGATATGTAGGTATCCATTCCCTTTATGCCTCTGGACAGCTCTTCTCTACCTCCACTAGATTTCCACAGGAAACTTAGAGATGATCTGGTAGTAAAGGCCAGAATAATACAACATGGGAATGACCCAGGAGTTGGAGTGTGCTAAGTAAACCACAGTTCCATGCTTACAC